CTGCACCTTCCTAGAGTACACATCCGCTTTCGACTCACTACCTAGAGATATTCTGTTAGATAAGCTTGCTGAAACTCAAACTGAGTATTGGATTGTTAGATGGCTTCATTCTAATTTATCAGGGAGAAAGCAGAACACTGTAGGTCAGGGGGAAGTCGTCCATTACCAATTGTATTTTTGTTTGATGAAGTTATTGTACGAATGCATACGAGAAGAACTTTTTCAAACACGCGGACGATCTAACTACTTCAATGTCTGTTAACTGCCAACTACACCGTACTAAGATGAACAGCTCTCTATTAGGAGTGGGAAAATGCTCTTAAACTAAATCCTTCGAAATGTCAGACTGTTATTTTCAGTTTCCGATGTAAACGAAAGTTAGTTGAAGGTGTTAATTCCTATGACCGTTGCAAAATTGATAATAGTGATATGGAAATGAAGTCTGACTCTAAGTATCTCGGACTGATTCATCGCAGCGTGTTGGCCCTAAATGTATGCCACATGCAGGCATAATGTTTATGAGCTAGGTATGCAAATCATGGTAGACGCTTGTACGGTACATTCATTATTTATAAAACTAACTCGCACGTAAGAACTATGGTTTGATCAGTTATACAACGTTTAATACATTTAGACACAATTAACCTACGATGCTGACTTCTATGACGCATTACCTAAAACTACATTAATATAGTTTCCGCTGAAGGTTATCTCCTATAGTTACTACCTTAGTGGGCAACTTAGCGTTATCTTTGAATAACGAAAATTCCGAGAACTTTCTTGGTAAAAAGATCGTCCCTTACTCGAAAAAATTAAATATACCCTAGTCTCCACAAAAACGTTCAGAGGTATTCATCCTATCACCGCAAACGACTCACTATTTGCAGCCATTTAAAAAGTAAAAATAAATTTACCGATGGCAGCGTGCTTATGATTTCTAGATATCATAATGTACCATGAGGAAAACGCTATCTCCATGCGGTTATAAGTCAGATGTGCGAAATTAGTCAGAAACACAACAACCACGATTCTCAGTCACATAACATCTTACTTCGCTACCTAATCGTATAGTCGTATTAACGGATGTTTCGCCGAAGAAAAGAAGACTACTGGTTCAAGGATAATTTATTTAGTTTTTTTTAAGATCGTGAACATCTGTGTCTATAGTCACGGAAGAATCACAACTTCGAGGAAACCATCAATCGTAGACTACAACCCGAAACGTTATTCTTCCTAATTAATGTCTTACCTTTAACTGGGATTGTTTGAACACTCACCAGATCACCGTATTTTATCCGCTTTGAAAACCGTTTTGCAACCCATCGAATGGATGTTAACACTGGCTCTATTACGGGTAGTCCTAGTTCATTTATTGCGATCTAGTACATCAAGCAATAATAAGCATAAGTAACACTTACCCTTAAGGATTCCAGGTTCTTTTAGTTCCCCCAAAATATACACAAGCACAACAGATTCATACTTTTCATGCGGCTCAACCTTATTTGGCTTAGATTCTCTCACAATATATTTTTTTAAATGATAGCAGACACACGGATGGTATATTCACATTCTCAAAAATCTTCAAAGCTTTTTCAACTTCAACCCAGGTTCTAAATTCTCTGGGTTTAATTTGTTCTTCGAAAACCTTGCTAATACCAACTCTGATGGTGCTCTCTTCAACAGATTCACTCGCAGATTGTTGTATGCTGCAAACATGAACGAAAAAGACACTCTTTTTCCAGATTTCTACATGTTATGCAAGTAACTGAGCCAACAATTGTAACGGCAACCAACTAATGGACTGGAAACAACTGCTTCTGACAGCCAAACATCTTCATGTGCACAATTTCAAAACCCTCTACACAGTACTAATTCATTAACAGCTGAAAACCAACTAAAACACTCAAAGCCGCATGAATGCAAGGTATGAAAACAATTACACCGAAATGAATGCACTGGCCTGGTAGTGAAAACTTTCGAAACCAAAGAAATAATTCATTTTAACAGCAACGGAAACAAAAAATGAGGTGAAACGCAACATTTGTGAACGATACGCAACAAGATAAGTCGTGTATAACGGCAGGATAAACGGAACAACAAACGCGTTAACGAACAGCTACGGAACTGCGATCCAACATGGCCGACTAAAATGGACGAAAATGACCTTCGAGCGCCTCACTCCACCAATGACCTTGATAAGTGACGGATAATTTCAGCCCAACTATAGACTTGTAAGGTCACGCATTAGAAATGAATCAAGCGCTATACAACATTGAACTGCGTTCGTGAATCTCATTGGATAATTCGCTGATTGGTAGTTAGTGGTGTCGAACGTTTAACTTCGCCACATCATGATAGTACGAAGAATATTGGTATCATTATACATTGCAAATGAACGTTGTCGGCCTAAGGATTAATTACTTCCCCATTCTGTTTCCTACACTAATGTATTTATTAATGATATATTGCACTTGGTTAATTTATTACACCTTAATGATTCACCTTAGCACTTTAACTTTTCTAAAACAGCTTCCAATCCCTTGTAACCGTTGTACTTACCTCAGTATTGGTTGGTTATCGTACGCCTACAACCACGGGATGAAAACGAAACGAAGTCGATTTTCCCGCTCAACCTGAAGGGCAACTGTACAATTCAATAACTATACGGCCTGGTTCAGACAATGAGTGGAATTATATATATATCAAATATTTAACTGTTGAAACATTATTAACTTGTAGACAATTTAAGATTTGACATTATACCATTCTTGATCGTGCCTGTAAAAATGGCATGCATTTTCATGTAAATTTATATGTTTACGTGAGAATACACATCAATATTATTAAATGATTATTTGACTAGGTAAGACTGGAGAAAAAAGCACACTAACAAAATATAAAGGGCAGTGTAATCATTCCAGGTTAGAGGAAGAGTTGCAGGGTTTCTTTTTGAACGCATAAGGTAGTTTCAAAACGCTTGATTGCGATGGATTCTACGAATTATTTTTCAAGGATTTAAGTTGTCTGTCTGATGTCTTGCATAAGTCAGACGTCTCATTATTGTGCTACTCAGTGATTAACTTCTAACTAACTGTGAGCACTTCGGTAGGTCTTCGGAAAAAAGAAGATGAGCCCTTCGCTCTGCTTTTTCAATGTGTTTGCCTTGGTAACTACGGTATACTGATATATACAATCCGAGCTAACTAAGGAAAGGTATCTTTCAGCTTTTGAATGAACGGAGATGCCTTTTTGTACAGATGAAGAGTTTTATAACAATTTATTCCTTGAGTCTTTTTCTGGTCTCTGTTATCAGTAACATAACTTCTAAATTTTATGCGGATCAGTATTCATATTTGCTTTGGCACTTCTTATTCTTTTGTTTTCATTCTTACGTAATCCGCCAACAACTCTTTGCGGATATCTGTTGCCTGACAGACATTTTCCCGGAACCTACGGCCTTTCTTCCAATTTTTCACTGCGATATATTAATCTCACCTCTTCAAGTAACGTCTTGACTACAGTTCATCCATGGTCAACCGCACTAAATGTAGTGGAATTCAAGTAAATTCCACTCCATGTACTTATCAGTGAATGAATCCCTGGTATGTACCATTTGTCCTGAGTTTTACGGCAGTGTTCAGAGAGTTAAAATTTCCATTTCACCCACATTACATGGAGAAGCTGATTTTCTGGTTAGCGTCATAGCGATGCATGCGATAAATAATCCCATGAAGTGAACGCATCAAAAGCTTACACAGTGTTTAGTGTGCATTCCTAATTTAACTGTTCGCCAGATTTCGCATGATAATATCTCCAGAATGGGATCCCAGGTGTCTCCATTGCTACTTCATCAGTGTGTAGTGGACTAATCGGCTAAGTTCATTAATACGCACAATTAGAAAGAACAAATAGTAACACTTATGTATGTGGAAGGTATTCAGTCCACATATGTTAATATGCACATATAATGAAGTTATTTGAAAAATTATAATATTCCCGAAATACACAAAACTCAAACGTACAAAAAGATATGGATGAAATTGTCCTTTTCTTGAGTATACAGATCCTGCACTACACGAAAGAGATGCTAAATGCCGGAGGGCACTTGTGTAGAGAAAAGTAGATTGAAACAGAGTATCCTTATGTGGATACGATGATCGGTACGAGGCAGGGTTGGTCGGCAGATGTGAAGAACGAGGAGCTCGAGAGGGAAGAAGCTCCGTCAGTGTTGCGCAAGGAACCAGGTTGTGTCCTCATTCAGTCTCACGCATTCACCATCATTTTCTGTGAATTCCTTAGTTTTGCTACTTTAAGGTGAACGTATAATTTGATTTGTATTTTCGGCCACAACTGTCGTGACAGAACATCTGGTCGAACTGGAAATCAAAGTGGTGAGTGCAGATCAATGGAAGATGTCTGAATCATGTACACAGCATGGAAAAAATACAAGAAATTCTGGCATATAGCCTCCGTAGTTTCAGAGACAGACAACTTAGTGAATAAACAGCTCGCATGAAAAAAGTCATACTACGCATTTGCTTTTGTTGGAGGAGAGATGATAACTGGCAGTTAAAAATTAGCTGTTTAGACTTTTGTTATGAAAGCCGCACAGTAACTGAAACATTGTTTTCGAATGTAATGTAATTCTTCATGGTACTAATAGTCATTGTTCATTGAATATGACCCCGTGGAGAAAAAGTGTTTGAGATTGCGGCAAGTAAGAATGATTTTGGAACCCTGATCTTTGTTATCGTGGATGGTCTAATTTAGCTTTTATTACTTGTGCGCCACGATTTATTTTGGTTTTTAAAACTTATTATTATGAATGTATTTATTGTCCAGCATCGATTCATTGTATTGGCTTCTAGGTAATCTTCAAACGAATATCATGTATCAGCTGGATTGTAATTTGTATATATATTGAATTTAAACTTTGTTGATTCAACCGGTCACTCTGCAAGTGAAATGGCGTTTTTTCTGCCCATTTCGGACTATTTTTTATGTACGAAAATAGTTATATCAATCAAATGAACCAAGAAGCGGAATCATATAGCAGAATAAACGGGTGGTCACTGCCCATTCATCCTCTACAGTGTCTTTCTTGGTTTGCCACAGCTTTGTTCTCATTGGCGTATTTTGGAATTCTTGTTCCAGCTGTTATCGAGAAAGCTAGAATCACTCTTATGGTTGTATCCTTGCTTCGAATGTTTTTTTTATTTGTCTTTAATTAAGCAGACATATATCTATAAATACACATATATAAAGTGAGTTTAAAAGACAATTTAAAAAGTATTGCTCTGCAATTTTACAGACGTGATAGCTACGAATAAGTATGAAAATTGATGAAGATTGTTTTCAAAATTTATAGCATAGACATGTAGTTTTTATTGACCAGCCTGCGTCTGAGTTTTTAGTGGTCTAGAGTATATGAAAATAATAGAACTTTGACTCAACGTTATGGTGTCAGAAGAGTTTTTGTTTCTTCTGGAGTTCATTTCTTAATAAAACGAGTGATCTGTGAAGGATGAGCCAAAGAAATAATTGCATAAGCTATCATAAATCACTGATTAGAAGTCAAGTAGTCAGAAACAAAAGGATGTTAAAAAATGTAGGAAATGATGTGGAATGAGTGGATTTGGTCAACGGATAGTGAGCCCCAGTGTTTAGAACTTTGGGAAAATTATGATAGTGAACACACTTTAAATTCTCCTGTTTAAGATGTTTAACCATTTATTCTTATCATTTTTCCGGACGCAAATCAAGTTCGCACTACCTAGCACACCTCTGCTGACATTTGTATATAGGCTATTTGTTTTGCATAATACCTTAAGTTAAAATTCATCTTGATCACGGAAAAGATATGCATATCTTTACTACCGAGATATTTCTACTTCTTGGTTTTCATCTAAGTAAATCTGAGCTTTATTCATGTTTGTCCATTCATTTTCGTCCCGCATATCCCCAGTGTATTTTCACTGTCCGTAAGCAAATATGTATGAATATATACTTATTATTTACTAATATAATGGTCTTCATATATTTATCACCCTGAGTGATGGGGAACCCTGAGTAATCAGCGCTATTTTGTTTGTAAACTGTTATCTGGTCACTGGTCTAAGTTTATTTGCCCTCCAAGTTGATGATACAGTTTCCAGATATTTTATGTTTATTAAAAGAACTCACTGTTTCTCATGCGTCAGAAATGCTTATGTTTTGGTGCTTCATCAGCGAGTTTGTCAATGCATTTCACGTTTGACTGCTGTTGTGTAGGGTAATTCACCTTCATAAAAGAGTTTCTGCAAGTATTTAGGTGAACAATACACTTAGAAATATACCTATGTGATTTTCGTGAAAGACAACACTTTTGGCGCGTAAACTGAGGTCATTATCATTTGACTTGCAGAATGGAAAGTCGCACTGCTGTATCTTCTCTTTATTTTAGCATTGTAAAAGAATGTACGTAGACTTACACTGATAGTTTTCTTAAATATTAGATTTTTAAACATTCTTCCAAGATCAATGCAATCAGGTGTGGTTTAAAAACTCTTCACAATTTTGGTCCTTTGAGGATTTAGTTAATTTCATTGTAGGTTTTGTCACTAATTTGCAATGATTTCAAGACTATCGCCAATTTGTCATGAAATCTACGTTGCAAATTATTGTTATTTGTGTCCTTAACTAATATATTATCAGATAAATGCTGTAAGCATTGCTGCTTACGTTGTTCTTAACATTGCTGCGGTTAGTATTAATCCTGCAGATGTAGCCGTTAGAGAAAAACAGAAGTTACGCGGACAGAGGGTGCCTTCTCTGGATCCAAGACACACACATGTGATTGAAAATTTTTACTGTAATTTGTGTGACCTACCTATGTGAGTATCTGAATCTTTTCTAATGTATTCATTTGTTAAATTTGAGTGTTCTAATTTTGTTACAGTATATAACCAATTTTTGGTGCTCTAGTGATTAAAAATTGGTTGTTTATCTCACACATGTAAGCCTTTGCATGGTATGGTTTGCTTCTGTGTTTTGGAATTCATTAGTTTAGTTAATAAGTTACTCAAGCATGATTACTTGGATTCGAGGTGATATTTTCATCAAATTATCATTTAACACTTTGTTTTAGGGTTAAGATACTACATAAATATCTAAACCCAAGCAGATGAAGCTATCAGTCTGAAGCCTAATCCAGATCAACTTAAAGAGCTTAATTTTCGTGGTTTTGGTGTTACTTATGAAAGCCTTGTGCAAATTATGGAAGCCGCATTTCAAGAAGTTAAAAGGAGCTATCGTAAATCCAGTTTTCTGGCGGCTAATATTTGGGGTTTTCAAATGCCTCCATGGTGTTTTGTAACTGAGTTTCACTCACAATTTCTGTAGAATCTTCGGTTAGCTTACCTTGAATCTATGCCGATTTTATATTTAGGTGCTGTCATTCAGTCCTATTCTACTACTCTTTGTTTATCTGTCAACGTAGTTATTGTATACAAACGGAATAGTTTTGGGTAAAACTGTCAATTCTAGATGCTCAAATGCATTATCACTGATGAGTTTACTATCATTAATACAATTGTACATTGAGAATGGATACTAACTACTTGTACGACGCCTATCTAGGTGGAGAATATTGGCCTCACTTGATGTCCTTTGGACCAGGATTTAGTCATTCCCTGGAGATGTCTGACGACTTAGAGGACGATTATTTATAATGTTTCAAATGCCATGTGTACCATTCTGTTTTAAAGTACAATCTCTTTGATTTATTGCTTTGTCTTTTTTTCCACCCTTGTATATATTTCACCCGAATAATTTCACTAATTTGATTTAAAATGCCATACACGTGCACTAGTTTATACATGCTAAATTTCGTTATCAACCTAACGATAATTAAAATGCATGACTTTTGGGACAATGGATTTGCATTAAAAAATATTGGGTGTAACTGAAAAGAAAAAAAATAATTAGGTGGTTATCTTTGCTTCAGTCGTTAAATTTTCGTTTCACTGTCTAGCATAAACATTCACCCAAAAAAACTAAATTTCTCTATATTTTTCTTCATTTATTTAGTTCTAGTTCGCGTACAAAACATTGTAAAAGTTGTAACAAATGTATCGCTAATTTTGATCATCATTGTAAATGGCTTAACAATTGTGTAGGTAGTCGTAATTATGCGTAAGTTGTCAGTTGATGTTTAATCTCTCCTGAATTCATTTATCCTACTTTTCCTTGCATTATCAAAAATATATTTGTAGATTTAAACCTTTCTTTCAGAGTTTATGAATACATTTATACAAAAACCGAATGGCAGCTGATCTTGTGTCTAATCAATGCAAATTATGTATACTGAGATTTCTGTAGTCAAGGGCATTTAAAACAACAATTTCTACCTATTTATTCAAATTATTTACATGGTTAGAGATTATTACCTATCGTAAGCCAGATAGCTAGCAGTTGTTACCCACATTTATTGATTATCTCACATATTGCCGACTTATAGAATTCTTGTTTGCTACATTTGTCTGCTGAAATCTTCTGGTTGCTGAAAAGTAATTACTTAATGGCTTTATCTAGAGGGCTTCAAAACCACTTCTGAAGTCATACTTGGATCCATCTTTGCCTTTTTCCAGGAAAGTTGTATTTTAAACAATCGAGAAAAATAAGCAAAGAGTCGAAAACCTTCTTTTCCAGTTCTGCCCATAGGAAAACATGAGTATTGATTAATTTTAATACAGTGCCATTCATTTAGGATATACGTCTGTGGTCGTCTTTAATAATTAACATAAATCTCTAATTTACCTTAGTTATTCTACTGAGCGTAAAGGTTTTACCTTAAATGGATAGGCCTGAAGTACTAAAATGTTAGTTAAATCTTAACAGAGTCTATGATTCATCACTTGCTGTGGATCATCGGGTCATGATCTCTTTATTTAACTATTAGTTCTGTGCCTTCAAATCAGTGTATTCCTACTAAATTTTTGACAGTATGTCAACGCTTAAAAACTGCAGTGTTTCAGTTCAAGATATTCAGCATTTTTCAGTGTACTAAAATTCACATACCATGTTTGCGGTACTGGATTTTTAGTACATCAAGTTTCCTATTAAATAAATTGGGTAATAAGAAGACGCTATAGCTGATATACACTACATATTAGCTCAATCAGGTCGAATTAGTCTAGATGATATATTTAGCTGCTTGTGGTTGAACTCCATTTCAGACAGACTGCACTACTCGGTCGACGTCTGAATCGTTTGTTTTCTTCTAAATAAAGTATTATAGTTTCACAGCTAACTAACTGGACCTTAAGGGTGTAGAAGTGATATTCTATTTTAAAATATCTAGATTTAATTGATGTTGAAAGCAACATATATATTCGGAATAAAACATCCATTATGTACATTATTGTCATTATCATTTCAGCTATCCCTCTTAGTGCCTCTAACCACTGATACATTCACTCAGCAGTTCCCTTCAAGATGCTTATATTCCCGCAAATAACATTAATTATCATTGGTATCTGAATGGATTATCGGAATGTCTTGATTCACGCATACTTAGGTTTAAAACATTGAAGTAAGCTGGAAATTGGCTTACCCCGATTGTGGCAAAATAGTCGTGTGGAATTGTGTCATATATATGTTTAAAGCACTTGTATGTGATATTAAAACTATTTATAAAAATGAAGTGAACACACAGGGATTTTTATATACGTTGTATACGAATATGTTGACTTGTTCGAAATCTTTTGCAGAAGCCTGTTTGTTAAAAATTACAACCGAAGTCTTGGTGGGATAAAGAACAGTTATAGATCGTCTATTGCTTTTTTCTTTTAGTCTGAGTGCTTTTTTGTACTTAATCGATAATTTCATCGTATGTCTTGTTTTGCTCTAGGTGTTTCGCTGGAATCATTACTACAGCTTGTCTATCACTTAGTATATCCACTAGTCTTTCCATTTCCTTGAGTATAGCATTCTATTCAGATCGTCAGCATGGAAACTGGATTCAAGCTTACCATGGTAATTTAACCTTTATTAGTTTTTCTTTCATTTATGTAATAATGATAAACTATATTATCTATTGATGTGTAGCTAAGCTGTTATACTTAAGTTTAATTCAGAATTCATAGATGCAAATTCAAGTAATCATAAATGTTGTATTTTCGACAGTTAATACCCTTCAAATCATGAGCCTAATATCTTAAGGTGAGAAAGTTAATCTGAGCGGTAAAGAAAGTGAAAACAATATGTGATACTCACGATTTTGTATGTCAATTAAAATAACCTTAATAATGAACTTATGCATACAAAACTCTGAGCGTTTTTATGCATGTAATATATGTATATTTAATTGTGGCATGCTAATGTCTTTACAGTACATAAACATGAGAGAAAACTCCTAGGGTGATTATATCTCACTCCGTAAATAATATCGAATAGAGTTTGAGTAAAAACCTGGTATTAAACAAATATAGGTGTTACTGATTGTTTTGAAAGCCTGACTAATTTCCACGATATACCCCGTGTCAGTTAGGTGTCTGGCGATTGCTCTTCAGAGCACTTTGCTGCCTTTCAAATCGAGACTTTCAGCGATATACCCGGAGAATCTACTAGACGCTCTCCTTTCAGTCCTTCCTATGTACTTGACATAGGAGATCCAGTGGAAATTAGTCAGGTTTTCAAAATAATCTATATACAAAGAAAAGCATGGTTACTTCAGTTCGCAGAAACTATTGCCATCAAAAGAAATACTAGCGTTAGTTTGATTTGTATTCTCTTCCTTGTATGTTGTTTATCATTGCGTCTTAATAATATCTCACTTAAACATTGTGCATATCACCAATGAGATTCCTGGTTTTGGTAGAGTTGGTCACGCAGTAGGTTGTAGGCAGCGAGAATATGGGCATAGGTTGAACCGATAAGAAGACTCTAGAGGATCTGAACTCCTAGAAAAATGTATGACTCATGTCACATAAGCTCGAGGGTCTTCAGATGAAAACCAACAAGTTGGAAGGAGACGAGTCTTCAAGTCAACATACAGGAGAGAAAGGAGATGAATTCACCTAACCAACAGCAACAACAACAACAAGCACCAATTCACCATCAACGGGAGAAATTTGAAAGAAGTTGCCTTTTTTCACTTTCTGACTTGGGAAGTATCATTCTGACTGCAGATTCATGGGTGAGGATTGGAAAAGCAAGACAACTGTTCATCACCCTGAAATCAGTATGAAGATCGATAACACGAGGAAAAGTATTCTGGTTTTCAACATTATTTTCAAGTCACTGATTGAATGCAGTTCAGAAAATTGTCGTGCGTAATCATTTCCAACAGCTTACTTCAAACTTCCATCGACGTCTGTCTTTCCTGGATACTGAAGATCAGATGATCAGAAAGGATAAGCGTAAACGAACTCCGATGACGGACCAAACCGAAAACCTATCACCCCCAACCAACATGTAGCAAGAAACTAAGATGGATTAGACATCCTCTGAGGAGACTGTTGAGTGATATCCTGTACCAGGCAAACCCTAGAGTGGAGTCTCGAATAAGAAGCAATGAGTTAAGCGTCTATGGGTGACATAGAGGAGATCGTGTGTGGATAAACTGAAAGCTTGTGAGATATCTTGGAGCCAGCCTGAAAAAATACTGTAAAGAACAGAATGATGTAGTGATGTGCTTCTGAAGCCCTACGATCTACTCAGAATTCAAAGAAATAACAAAGTCACAAATATCCCACTTAAATATTATCAGTTAAAAGACTTTTTTATCTATTAGTTAAGATTTTGCAATATTTTCAGTGTGTAGAGCGACTAGTTTTAGTAAAATATTTTTTTAAAATATTTTCTATTCTGAAGATGTTTAGCGTTACAAGTATTTAAAACTGTGCTTTGATTTACAGCCAGCGGATTACTAGAGGAATTTCGTATGCAAACTGATGAGTGTAATGAGTCAACTTCCTTTACTTCTTTTGGTGGCATTCTCTTCTGTTGATAGTTTGTTTTCTTTCTAAAATGGTCTGCTTTTTAGGCCAGTACTTTTAGATTACTTATAGGGGTGTGTTCAGGATTAAGATAAGTTCAATGAATTTGTAATAATCTGCTTCAAAACAAATGCGAATCTATTTTTTTATTGATTGACCAAAATTTCGAATTCAGCAACACTGGAATACAATCAACTAGTGATTTTTATATCATAACATTCAACACTATCCTTACATCAGTAAGCGCACACTAACTATCCCCTAAGGCGTATTTTACAGATTCATCAAACTGACCAGATGAGGTTAAGTGAATAACCACAACTAGCTGTCTCAGAAACTCAACACATAACCATAGCTCGAGGTCCCAGAGTTCTTGGTTAGTGATCCTTTTTGTCGTATACAGTATAAGGTCCTGAACCTAAGTGCTTTACTATGAAGCTGGGTATGTGGTTTTAAGAGACTATCAGTAGTGTTTTCCTGTCTCAAGTCACTATTAATAATCACAGAGTTAACAGAACTTGAGGAGCCTACCGGTGAAATAGTATAAATGGTTAGAGGATAGCAAGAAGATGAAGGTCGTTGATGGTTAGGAAGGCCTCGTGTGATAACGAAAACGCGTTAGCCGTTATCACTTCTCGACTGCTCACATCATGAAATTTGATTTCTTCTTGAAATATCTGAAGGTAAATTCATGTCGTGTAACCGAAGAGTTCACGGAAAACTGGTTGAGGCCGGTCACACAGCCTATATGCAGTGGTTTTTGAAGCTGTGTCCGTATGAAAATCTTATCGCCAGCTACGAACCAACGTTAAATAGTTTGGGATGTACAACTTTCAGGGTTTATTTCCAATAACCCACCCGTTTTCTCCAAACGGGGGTGAAGCATAACTGGCTTGCTGCTCGTCCCACGGAAACACCCTAATGCTGTTAAATCCATTTTCGTCCAGAAACCTCCAACATAGTCCGAGCTACTTACACTACGGTGGTGATTGCTTTTAATATAACTGCTATCTTAACAAAGTGTCCGATATGGTGGAGCTTTCAGGAACACTGGTTCCAATTGATATAGTTCGTTGGGTTATTGAGATGTGCAAACCTGCCTATCATATCAATGCAGTGGCTATAGGCTGGGCAAACTAGTAGATTCATAGACCAAATAATTTAGTAAATAAATACTATGATAGGCGTTGTTTTTATTTTTTTGAATGAAATAATTATGATAGCTGAAATAAATATAATGTTTTCTGAAAAAAAACAACAACTAAAAAGTAGACTATTTATGCGGCTGTGATATTGATATTTATGAACGTCTACCTACTTTATTCTCGTTGTTTCATAAATGTGAACTAATGGTAAGAAGTGAGGTCATCTGTTTAACTTTGTAGGACCAAATTTAGCATAATTATGATACTTTTAGTGATTAAAATAAACCTCACACTGTTTTTTTTTGTTTTTTAACCGGTGATACCTACCTGTTGGCGTGAATTGTGTAGATGATCTAATTCGGGCATAAATGAAAGTTGACACAGCTAGAATTAACACAGATTCACTACAAATGTACATATATATTATCATGTAAAAGCATTATTTGTAATCCTGGTTTTGTATTCATACAAGTGAATATTAAAAAGTGAAATTCTGAGTCACTAAAGCTGTGAACTTATCTGCTAATATTCACAATCTGAAATGTTTGAAATAATCATATACACGATATACGCGTTTTTTTCTCTCAAAGCCATAGATTCGGTTTATAAGCTTATTACTCAAATATAGCTTATTAGAAAGTTGGAGGCAATCGGTAGGAAGCCTTCGACCTAGGTTTCGCGCTAGTTGGCACTCCACTAGTCAGCAAGGCGTATCTGCAACCTTGAAGGAACTCATGTCCCTTCTGAGTTTCCAACCCGCGTCACCCAGTGCTGCAGTGAGAGACCTTACCACTGAGCTATTCGGACTTGCGATTGACCTCCTGCAGGACTGTAGTGGGTATTTCGATTGGACACTAGTAACTAGTGTGACGTGTCTAGTCCTTTTAAGGTTGCAGATACGCCTTCCTGATGAGTGGCAACTAGCACGAAACCTAGATTCAAGCAGGGCTTCCTGCCGATTGCCTCCAACTATCTAATATCATCAAATCAATGTGCACTGTGATGGCGAGCTACTTAGAATCGTGGCCACATTGAAAAAACCTGACTGACAGAATTCATTTTGCACCAAAGAAACGTCACACTAGTTACTAGTGTCCAATCAAAATATGGCTTATATTCTGAGTTATTGGATTTCACCGAATTGAGTCGCTTGTGTTACCACTGATTATTGATTTGAAACATGTAAGCAGGTGTTAGTTACTTGACAGGCGCTCTCAAAATGCTGATTCTAAGTGATTAGAGTATCTTGGTGATATTGTACAAGATCATTTGGAATACATCAGATGTATTTACTCCTTGTTAGAGGTCACAGATATCTACTCACTGTCTATGTCTGAGTGATAGTGGAAGTTATAATGGTTTAGGAGAATGATGGCATCAAAACATATGACCTATGTTAAAAGTAACTGCTTGCTTAGGGACAAATAGGAATAATATAACCTATGGTTTGTGATGTGGATTACAATCGATAACAGTTGTCTAGATGCGTTCATTTCTTATCTTATTATTAATTATGATATTACGTTTCTTCATTCGTAATTTGTATCTCCTAATTGTATGCGTTATCTGTTAATTTTCGCATGGTGAACAAACCTCATATCTGGCAAATTGAACAACATAGTTATAACAGGTCTTATACTGATGCCTGTGTGCTTACTAGTTTAGTTGAATTCAATTTTTTCAGTGTGCTCAGTCAATGTAGCATCATGGTCATTCTACCGGAGATATAGCTCATTGTTTAATATACAAGTCTGTATGGGATTATGGGCTTGTATTGCTTTATTGTGGCAAGATACGCCTTCATCATTCTAAAATCGGTTTGGAAATCTTCTGCACTTAGTCAGCACGTTTTTCAACACGAATGTGAAGTCAGTCAGTTCTTCTATGGGAGTTTGAAACTTGCACTGCCTTTCACGAAAAGGATTTCCAACAAGTTGCTGGGGTCTTTTATCAACAGCTGCCACGATCGTTAGCTCCTTACTAAAGATCTAATGGCCAGCCAGCTGGTGAGAAAGAACTAGTAACACGTAACTCTGCAGTGGAACAAAACTAACCAAGAGCCTATTGCTCAACAAATATGTAGGAGAAAATATAGATGGATTGGACATGCATTGAGTAGGCCGTCGAATGACATTACGCGCAATGCAGGTCATTGCTCGAGTAGGTTGTCAGTGTCAGTGGCACATGGGGGAGATCATGTGACGACGAGGAGATGAGAGATTATAGTCAATCGTGGACCCATCTGAAGGGGATATCAGCGAATAGAACAAAGTGGAAATATGTTGTTGAAGCCCTATGTCCCACTCGGAACTTGTAAAGAAGGTCATCTAGCTATCAAACACAGCAACTATGCGCAGAAGAAAAGCGTATGTAGGTGAAAATTCCCTATTACTTTTATAACTTAGGTAGTATAACTTAAGCACCCGGTTTCAAAATGCATTTGTGTGTTGAAATGAACTGAAACCAACCGACATGTTGTTAGACTATTTAAGCACATTAGAATAAATGTGTCCAAAGACCACTTTGCTGATAATCGTATTTCTTTTGAAAGACAGCAACATGTCGTTTAAAGTCAGTGTTGGAATCTAGCTCTGTATTGAAAATATTTGATATATGCTAATTACTATTTGTGAAATCACCAGTGTCAAGCTGTTACTGAATTTTGATAGACCTGCGACTCATTGGTGTATGATTACTTATTCGCATTACTTCATTTACTGCTTATCTGTAAGCTTTTATATAAAGTTACTGGATTTATGTTAACAGTTGGTTAATTAAGACGAGACTGCTATAAATATACATTAAAGCATATGATGAAATTCCTAGACCATACTGGTGAAGTACCTACAGTAAAGAGTTTTAGTTATGACTGACCACAAGACTAAATAGTACTTCGAGTGCTTCGAGTTTGAATCACTTTCAAAGTTGAAAAAACTTATTGTCCAGTGACTCATATTCGCTTCAAACAGTAATAAGGCACTAACAGATGTTAAACTATTATCAATACACTTCATTTTACGGTAGCATTAAATAAAATAATCCTTCAAAATGAAAATAGCTTAGATTTGAGTTTAGTAGAATCTGCTCGATCATATGTTACAATGTAAGTCTTTAGTCGTATATGAATTACAATTACTATCAGTAGATCAGTAACAATATCTATAAATATTAAATAGATCAGATTGTATGATTTGTCGTTCTGCTCTTTTGAAATCTGACTAACCGAATTTCAACATAGGATACTGCACAGAATTACAGAAGCTCAGATTGCCACACTCCATCATGGCATACAAAAGTAGACAAAAAAGAGAAACACGGAGATTCAAAAGTACTTTATCGAGTGGCAATGTGAAGGAGAAAGGACAGTAATGTGGATATGGATGGTTGCAAAGAGTGAATCCATCTGCGTCACTGAAAAAGATTTCGAGCCATACCACCAGTTGTCTCTATCCTTTGGTTCTTAGCACCCAAAGAGCCCCAGTAAAGCAGCCTACACCTCATTTTACGTTGTTCAAACCAACTGTCAAAGTCTTCATGGACTGATTTCAGGTTTTGATATGACCACCGCTAACTCTTCTCCAACCTAGTCTAATGCCGGCTAACATTGTTTGTCAATGAAGACAACGTCTTGGCATGCGTAACACGTGTCCTACACATCTCAGATGATTTACCTTTACAACCTCATCGACTAACTCGTTCCCTTACCTAGCCTCAATATTACTCACCATTTTAAAGCACTTAACACCGCAGGTCAAGCGCAAATATCTCTGGCCAAAGACAGATAGTCTTTTCATATCACTCACTTCCAACGGCCATGTCCTACAGCCATAAAGAAGGAGAGACAGAAATGGTGTGGAGTATATGCATCCTTTAATCGAATCCAAATAAGTGAAAAGGGTCAACACACTCTACCACTTCACTGCCCATCTTAAAACCTGCAGCTGGTGCAGAATAGTCTTGTAAAATCAACTTACATTTGACAGGAGAGAATCACATGCCAAACATTCGAAGATTTCTATTGAGAGTCATTTCACTTAGAGGGACAATATCATCCGCATATTCTAAGTCAACAATACTGTTCTCTGGTAACAAGCCAATCCTTAAGTGGCCAAATTCATTTTCAGGCAATTATATTAGTATATTTATGATGCAGTTAAACAGAAATGGGAGCAGTGGGCTTCGCTGACGGACATCACTGGTTGTCATCACTTCGGATAACAAATCTCTATAAAGCCTTACACGGCTAGTATTAAAACTAACGAGTCATAATTCTAGTGAATTTTCTTATAGTACAACAAGTATAATGTTAATTATAGACTTTTTTAAATAAATCTGCCTGAAAATTTTACTCTGCAATAATTAATCTACTTTATATAAAATTTATCATAAATCTTCTATCAGTTAAATGAAACTTTTTTCACTTCCAATATGGCCTAGTTTAATTTACATTTTTCAATTGATTCATGTCAGAAGTTTTGTAAGAATAAGGTCAAGCAATTTACTCTTAGTACAGTGAACGTGTTTCTTAAAATGTGAAAGTAACTTATTAGAAAAAATAATTATGCTATTAGAAGTTACAAGTATCTTATATCACTTGATAGGCAGTTACAAACACTCCGCTTTAATTACGTTTTCTGCATTTGATATTAACATTATTTTAAAACAAAATCCCATGAGTTTCACACCTGGTTCCTGTAGTCCTCATTATTCTTTATTTGAAGTAAGGGAATGAGAGCTTCCAGTTGCCTGGAAGGAGTGGTGTAAAATCGTCTCTACTTTATGTGTTTCGCGTTTCATTTGTTCAGTTCAGTTTTTTGTAGTCCTTCGTTCGAAATTACTTAGTTTCAAAGAGACCTATCTTCAAATTCAGACTGTTGAGTGTAAGAAGGACCAGGCATTTCACACCAAATCTGTATGTGCTGCTCAGATTTTCTCTAAATATGTTTGTTCATAAAACGTTATGTACACCCCAAGATTACCAGTCTCTACACCATCGTGGAAGTTATCTCCTTTGAATTGATAATTAGGTTGTCTGGCAATAAAACAATCGGCTTAAACCGTCTTTTTTTATGTGGTTGTGTCCTCTGAGCTGTATAGTTTATTTGCGAAGCTTTCATCGCCCTACTAGGCGACATCTTCAGCGCATACTTCAATTCGTTGAAGTGAGCTTTTATATTACTCCACGAGTTTATTAACCATCTCTCCTGGTGACCTTGGACGTGATTGGTTGTTTTTGTGTGTTTTCACATCTTCTAGGTTACTTGTATTGGAACTGATTGTTTCTTTGGCTTGAACTTTGACCCCTTGTGTGTGAGATTTCCTTCTTATCGGCTGATAAATTTTGTCTATCTCGATATGTCTATTGATTGACGACTCACTGGAATACCAGGCCTCTAAAAATTCTCTAGCATTCTTGTTGTTTCCTCTGTCTAATATTTGAATGTTGTCTCAGTCGAATTGATGTCCATGGTTGCCTGCATGTAGTGATATGAGGGAGTGGATATCATGTCTTTTGACGGCTAGCTTATGTTCGTGTATACGAAGACGAAGGGGACGTCCACTTTGGCCAATGTAGTGTTTTTCGCAGTTGTTACAGTTTATTTTGTAGATGATGCTGGTTTTATCTTCTTTCGCTGTTGAGTCTTTCGGTTGACATAGAAATGGGTGAAGTGACTTTGTTGGTTTGTGTGCGACGTCAATTCCTAGAGGTATGAAGAGTCTTATTGTAATTTCTGAGATATCCTTTATATATGGTAAGGCGATTTTCTGTGTGCTTTCCTTTGGGGCTTTTGGTTTGATAGGTTGGCTCGGGGGTATATGTCTTTTGATGGAATCCCTTGGATATCCATTCTTTTGGAAGACGTCCATGAGATACCTTTCTTCAATTTTTCTTAAGGTCGGAGTGCTGCAATGAGTCCTTGCCCTCCTGAATAGTGTTTGTATGCAATTCTTTTTGTGTGTTATTGGATTGTTGCTGTTGTAATTCAGTATTTGGTATGTGTGAGTTGATTTTCTATAAACTTGAGTTTCTAATTCTCCTGTATTTGTTCGCTTGACTAAGACGTCCAAGAATGGGATTTTGTTCTCGGATTCCTCTTCTCTTGTGAATTTGATGTCGTTGAAGACGTTGTTTATTAAGTTGTGAGTTTTATCTAACTCGTTTCTTCTGATTAATAAACTTGTGGAGAAATCCAAAAGCTCACTTCAACGAATTGAAGTATGCGCTGAAGATATCACCTAGTAGGGCGATGGAAACTTCGCAAATTAACTATCCAGCTCAGAAAACATAACCACATCAAAATTATCCACCTGAGCTACAAATCTTCTCTATCCTATTTAAACCGTCTTTATCTTGAAAGGATTAAAGTTGTTTACGCCATATCCTGTGTTAGCATGGCGATATATGGCCGTGCAAAGCTTAGAGTTGTGCTCCGTCTTGATCTTATCTGTTTTGCTCTGTCTTCATAAAATTCAAACTGTTTTTTTTGTCGGTAATTTTAATTTCGATTACGTTGAATGTTGTCGTAATTAGCTATTCACATTTTGTTATGATTATTGAACTATCGTTTTTATTTTTCTGTTCAGTATTATTAGAATGTTTAAAAAAATAATCTTTATTTTCATACTAGATTACTGGCAAACATTTAGTAATGGAACAATTGAGCATTTGAATTACTTAACAGCCAACAGTAAGTACAGTATTTTTCTCTTAAAGTTGGTTGCTATATTGGGGTGAAGAAAAATTTGCATATCTTCACTGCAAATTTTTTATCATATGCTCATTTTAAAATTATAAATTTAATGGATAGAATAGGTTGGTAAATTACACCGTTAAATTGTAAAATGTAAGTATTTTATTAGGTGAACCAACTATGCTGCCTCTCCACTCTGGGGGAAGCGGGTCGGAAAAGGTTGTCCTCGAAAATGGTACATCCTGACTCACTCTTCAGTGGCCCGTAGGTGGCGGTAAGATTTTCATGTGGACAGAGCTCCAAAAGTCAACTTGGGTTCATGTGCAACCGGAACCAGAACAACACTGCCAATAGTCTGTTTAAACCAGGTTGCCAACTTTATACTGAAGCATTTAACCGCAAGACCATATTCCACATAGGGTGGCAGGCTCTGCTGCCTAGTAGTAGTAGTAGAAGTAGTCTCAAGCCATGATTATGTGTTGCTTTTCGGAGGCGCCCAAGTAAGGCTGTTCACTTAACCTCACCTGTCCAGCTTGATGAATCTGTAAAATTCGCCTTGGGGATGTTCCGAGATTCTTCGGGTAGGTCACGTGGACTCACTGTTGTAGGGATAGCATTAATTGCTTTAGTATAAAAATTTCCAGTTAACTAGATTCCAGTGGATAGTCTTATATATGTTATCCAGCTGAACGGATTCGTTAGTGGAAGGAAGTGGAATTATTCAGTCAATATGAAATTTGTCTAAAGTACTATCGATTGTGTACGGACACTGCAGCTAGTCATTGTTGTACACCCTCTCAGATGGTGTGTATTTTTGTCATCCTTATTCTGACATTTTTAGAGCTTTTACCATTTTTAGTGATTTAGTTTTTAATAACATTATAATGTCATATAAATTGTGTATTGCACTTTGATATCATTCATATTTACATCACATTGAATCCATTTTAAGCAACAACTTTTATTTTAATTTGTAGATAGCATTTTCCAGATATTCGGCTTGAGTGTTTCCGGTACAGTTTTTCTCGTCATTGTTATTGTGGGATGTATACTCACCTTCTCGATCGATGCCTTTTTATTGCATCTAATGATTTTCCATATTTATCTACGTAAGTTTGTTTACTTATCTGTAGGTTGAATGACTTTTATTTGTTATAATGATTTGTTTTATGAAGGTAACAGAGTGTGTAACGGGACAAGATAAAATACTTGGTAACTGGCCTTTATTATGGAAAAACACATCATATTTATACATTCTTTGCCACATTACAGTTCGACTAGGTTACAGGAGGATAAATTGCTCTGATTGGTTGACGGCTGGTCCAAGGTTAAACAAGTTGTCCAATGAGGTTATTTCGTGTCCACAACGTAAACTAAATCCGTATTTGAGGAAAAAACATTGCTACTTCTGCAGCCATTGACTTAAAATAATGATTTCAGTTTTGACCGCTTCCTGTTAACCTGCATCACGCTACATATAGACTTTTATAAAAAGGATTCCTCATATGTTGGTTACATTAGTTGACTATGTTGAATATTCAGTCTGACGATGAAGTCTGGAAATGTCAATTACTTAAAGATTTTAAGTTTATAACTATGTCTGAATTTAGATTCCCTGGAAAACCAACTGATTAAGTCTCCATATTTCATGATATTATGTAACAGGTCGCCGTAATCTAGCTATAAATTACTACTAGTTGACCTGATTAGTTCCAAACTGCTTGCTCTATCCAGTGATATATACCTTGAATTAATATGCTTCAGAAATAAAAAGGCAATCACCGAAGCTTTATGACTGCTAATGACTTCATACAAGTCTTGTAACTGATAAGTGTCGTGATGTCTGAGGATGGTGATTAGCTGTGGGATCCGGGATGCGCATTTCGGCTGAATATTTTGATCAAGTCAGTCAGTTGGGAAAATTAGAAAGAAATACACATCCTGGATTCTACTGCTCGTCGTCATCTACCAAATAACCTGACGATGTATTATTCAAGCATTTTGACACGGGACGGGGCGTTAGCAGTAGAAGCATGAAGCCTGTTTTTAAAGTTAGGCTATTGAGGTGTCTACTGATTCGAAGAAAAACTACCTTTTCAGGCTGCTAAAGTAGGGCCCTTAGGCCTCTGCGAGAAACGGCATGGAATCGTGCTCTTATCCACACAAAGTAAAGTACCTAGTCACATCATCCTGGAGAGAAAAGAAGAAGAAAAGAACTCCACCAGCAGAAGCAAGTTGAATTGAGGAAAGGAAAATCATGTTCTGATCAAATTGAAATTCAACGCATCATCATCGGACAAAGTATAGAATAGCAGTCAAACCTCTACCTCAACTTCATAAACTTCGAAAAGGCCTTCAACAGACAGCGTTAACCGAGAAGTAATTAGGAAACTGGTTAAACACGATGACGTGCAGTACCGAAGTCTTTATCAACCTCATTCAACAGCTGACTATGTGACAATGCCACGTGTCAGATGATCCACAACGAAAAACTCGGCGAGTCATTTGACGTGATTACAGGGGTAAGACAAGGCTGCCTATCATCACCGATAGTATTCTTAATATGTTGGTCTGGACCATGCGTCAGACTGTATATGGGAGTGAGAAGACAGGACCACGTTGGACCAATAAGGAGACTCTAGAAGATCTGGATTTCGCGAATCGATGATTTATGCCTAATATCACACAAACTCGAAGACTTACAGGCGAAAAAAAAACAAAATAACTTAAGAGGCAGACAGTGAAGACAGGAATCCAGATGAAAATAGAGAAGACGGAGGTGATGAAGATAACTAACCAACCAACCAACCAACTGCAACGACAACCAGCACCAATCATCCACCATCAACGAGAGGAAAACTTAACAGAGGTTACTTGATTCACTTATCTAGGCAGCACGGTTTCAAACACAGGCAAATGGCACTGATGAAGAAGTCAAAGCCAGAATTGGAAAAGAAAAAGAGACACTACATCAACCTGAAAGCAGTTTGGAAATCTTCTGCACTCAGTCAGCATAAACAACAAGATTCGAATTTTCAACACAAATGTCAAGTCAGTCAATCAGTTTTTCTATACGGGTCAGAAACTTGGCCAGCGTATCACGAAAAGGATTTCCAACAGGCTAGTGCAGAATTTTATCAACGGCTGCCACCTTCGCTGGCTAGCTTCATACTGAAGATCAAACGGTCAGCCAACCGGTGAGCAAGAATTAACAACAAAAAGAAACTCTGGCTGGCAACAAACCAACCAAGAGCCTATTGCTCAACGAATATATATCGGATAAAATGAAGATTGATTGGGCATACTTTTAAGGAGGCTGTCGAATGACAATGCGTACAATGCAGGCCACAGCTTAAGTGGAATCCCAATGTGAAGCTAAGAGTGGGTGGTCAGTGCGAGAGTGACACGGAGGAGATGAGAGATTATGGGCAGTCGTGGACTCATCTGAAGAGGGTAGCAGTGAGTAGAATAAAGTGGAGATGTGTTGTTGAAGCCCCATATTCCACTCAGAACCTAAGGAAATAATAACAATTAAAAGAATTAGTCCTTTTTTATAAATTTGGATAGCGTTATTTAAGATTTAAGAATGATTAACACAACGTTTGCCAATCCAATCAAATAAGGATTTCCAAAGTAGGTTAAGAGTGATAATAAACTGCTTTTGAAAACAGGGGGGCTTAAGTTTATAAATAGCTATAGCCCCGGAGTATTTCAATAAGCGCCCTTGACCGTTTTTATAGATGACCTTAAAGACTGAATTAACATCAATCTTATGGTTCATTTCGACTAGGTGTTTAGTTATACACGAAGTTGGCAGTCTGACACCTGCATCTATTGGTTTTTCACAGTTCATTTGTTTTTCCAGCCATTTTGGGATACGCTTTCCCACCCTCACATGCAAAGCGCGACTACTCCTCCCTATGTATGTGTGGCCACACACACACACACACACACACACGAAAATTGGTAAATAGTGTGGGAGGTGATATAATCACTTGTGCACTTTCGACGTATGCAGTGGAGCATATTTTTGGCTTTTTCGACAGTTACAAGCTGGGCTGCATAATAGGTTCTACGGATGACCGAATTCAACCTTTGTTTCAAAATCCTACTGTTAATTTCCCTATTATATGGTATTTTGATGAAAACCTTTTTCTTAGGGGCGGTATGGATTGTAGGTTTAGAGACTAATTGACTTCTACATCTGTTTAAAAAGTTTAAAAAAGTTTATAACGCTTAAATAGACATTTCACCAAGCCCCTCGTATACTGTAATGGGCAGAAGCTGTGAAAATTAAGGTATTGCCCTGTCGAAGTGGGCTTTCTGTAGATTGATCGTCTTATTGAACCATCATCTCTTCGACTCAGAAGAATGTCTAAAACTGCAAGTTGGTTGCGACTTTCTTCCTCACATGTAAGACTAATATGATTCTGTACAGAGCTAAGTCTGTCTAATAGACGACTCACATCTTCATGATCGTGGCATAGCAAAATGATATCATCTACATATCTCCTATAGAAGGGCAATTTAGAAATCAAACCAAGGGACAGGCTCTCAACATAAGACATGTTAACGACCGCTAACAAAGGTCCTAATGGACTCCCCATAGCAATGCCATGCACTTGTCGAAAATGTTCACCTTCAAACGTTATCCAAATAATAATTAAGGTGCTTAGTTAATTAATTAATGCATGGTATACGAATTATCATGTATTTTTTTAGGAGGCAAAATATTCTTCTTTCTGTTGTTTCAAAATGTTATTACATCTTTATATCTATTGATGATTGATTTCTTTTCAGATATAAAAGGTATGACAACATATGAATTTATCGTAGCCCAGCGTCAAAAGTCGAACTCATCCTCTGAAGAACAAAAATCAGGAGTAGTAGATTATAAAAAGAAAGGATATTATTTTAAATTTGAATTAAATAATTGTTGTGAAAAAGGTGGAAATGAAAGTAAAAGTAAAGAGGATGTATCAAATAAACAATCCAATGGAACAATGTCTATATGTAGTCATGTAAAAAATTCTTCAGATTCTCAACAAAAATCCTATGAACTTCCAGTAATGGCTGGTGATTTAGCTAATCTGCGGAATATTTGTTCAATTAGACGACCGTCTATTTCAAGTAATAAAGTATATCCGTATAAAGAAGAATGTCATGGACCAATAACTCATGTTAATATTAATAAAGAAAGTACAGGAGAAAATCCAGAGTATTCCTCTTCTATAGTTACTTGTACACATGAGAATAAAGTAACAGGAAAAGTAAGCGATAACATATTATTTATGTACACTAAAATTTTAAACACACTTTTATCTGTTCTGTGTAATGCTTACTGCTAGTTATGTGTATTTTTTCTAAATCAGCTTGTAAAGTGTTCATTGTTGTTTTAGGTAGATAGATACAGTTGAATAGTTTTTCTTAATATCTGGGTTGATTAGTTTGGTATTTTGTGAATTTCCTTTGGTTATTTGTTGAGTAGTATAATGTAGAACTCTTCCTTCCTCTCCTGGATTTGATAGTTGAATAAATTGTGACTTACTGTGACTCTGTCTCACTTTAGCCTCCAAGTGTCATGTTTTAAGCTATCGATAGTAGTTTATAGTCCCAATGAGAACGAGTGCTTTCCATCTGTCAGTTCCTAAGCAGGAAAAAAGGGCATCGTGCATCACCTACAATAGGATGTAGTTATATTAAGATCTCTATCTTAATTTATCGCCAAACTAACGTAAACCTGACCAATACAAGTCTTCCGTAGATTGATCCACGTAGTACAAACGAGTGAATTTCATTGTTGACACAATGCTGATTGTAGGCGTGCATTCCTCACTTTTCGTATATACTACTGAAAAGCAGTGGATTTCATCTTTTTGACATAAAAACTGTCGTAGCTTATGATAATCTGATAAATCGTGTGATTATTTGGGCGTCAAACTGATTTTGGACATTACTAAGTTAGTTTTTATAATCACACGATATTACTTCAGTAGCAGTTTTTGTGTACACGATAATTAAGGATTCGAGGCGTAGGAGGGAGGGAAGTAATTAATCCATTAATTTCTACCTTTTTTTATTCCTTTAGGTTTCTAGTGCAACATAGGTCTGCAAGTTACAGCCCTGACGTTTAGGTAGTAGTGGTGTTCATTTTTACGGCATGGAGTTACTAGCTTCATGCCCAACCTTCCCTCTTTACCAGTCTTATTACTCATCAGGGGATCGGACCCCGAACCACAAGCGTGATTGGCGAGCATTCTGCCGTTATGCCACCAACGTTCCATGTTAGCTCGAAAAAAATATGTAGACAGAGTTTACAAAATTAGACGTCTATGACAGAAAGATAACTTCCTTTTATTTCAAGAAGAAAGAAACTTGATTGTAATAGAATTTTGAGCAAACAACATTTGATCATTTGCAAATTCTCTTCTTGTTAACTATGCTTTAATATTTTTTCTTTAAGAAATCTAAACCATATTTCATAAGTCCGTAAAGATGCTTGAGAGGTAGATAAATTCTGTAAATCTTGAACAGAGCATTGAATGATAGTCAACTCACTACCTCAACTTCCTCGACTTTGAAGAGGTCTTCAACAGCGTCGACCGTTCAGCACTGTGAAAACTGTTTCAGCAATACCAAGTGACCTTAAACTTCACTAACCTTGTTCGGCGGCTATATGATGTTACCATTTGTCAAGAGATTTTACAGTGGGAAACTCAGCAAGGCCTTTGAAGGAAAGACAGGATTAAGACAAGGCTGCCAACTATCACCGATGATATTTCTAAGTGTAGTGGACTGTGTAATAAAACATACCGTGGAGAGAGAAAAGACAGATATGAGATGAACTGACGGAAAGACTTTGGAAGATCTAAACTTCGTGGATGATTAATGTCTAGTGTCATACAAACTCGAAAATCTTTAGGCGAAAACCAACAAGTTGGCAGAATAGGTTGTCCGCGAAGACACGACATCAGATGAACATTGAGAAGACAAAGATGATGATGAAGATACCTAATCAATAACAAGCAACAATCGCCATCAACGGGAGTAATATATGGGAATTCACCTCTTTTACTGGCCTGACCTTAGCAACATCGTTCAAAATATATGCAGCATGGATGAGGATGTGAAAGCCAGCTATAGTTGGGGAATTCAAACACAGGATGTGCACGATACTCAGCACAAAAGACAAGATTAGGATTTTTATTTCTAATATCAAGGAAATTCTTCTATATGGTTCAAAGAATTGGTGTGTGTGTGTGAGTTGAAAAATGAATTTTCAGCAGACTTTAGACTTTTATCAACACCTCTGTTTGCTCCATAGAGAAAATCAGATGGCCAGCTAGAAAGAATTAGCACCAAGAAACTCTGTAAACGGACCAGTCAACAAATATGTCGAAGAAAATGGAGATGGATAGGACACACACTGGGAAGATCGTTCTGTGACAGCACCTCCCAATCCCTCGAGAGGATAGTAAATGGAAAAACAACGGTGGAGTATGGCTCCGAGAGTGACGTGGAGGAGATTGTGTGAGGCGAAGATGAAAGCCTATGGTTAATCGTGGAACCAGATAAGTACGATTGAAGAGAGCTGGATGACATGGACAACATGCTGTTGAAGTCCTGTTTTTTTTACTCTAACTCAATGGACGAAAAATAATGGCAATTATTATGGCTGTACATTTTTCATACTTTAAGCTGGTAATAAAGCCTACAATCTCCATGAGATCTGACACCTGGAGCTTTTCATCACTATCTTTAGTATTATATTTCCACTTCTTCTGCTGTTAGTAGTTGTGTTAAACGCCATCTTAGCGTTATACTATTCACCTTTCGAGAATACTTTGCTTATTGCTCAGTCTTGTCTTATGCTCTCCAGTTGAATTGGGGTGAAATAAAAGATGAAAAAAAGGAGATAAGTAAAGCATAGTGTCATCTATCTATACAGTTACCATGAAAATTAACTATTCATTCTTTTTTGCTGTTGCAGTAATCAATTCGTAATCACCATATTTCGTTTATTTTGAATACACATTTCTATCCTACTTATTTATTCGCATAAACTAGAAGTACTTTTCTCTAGGAGGAAAGATATTGATTTATTTTATTTTATTTTTTTCATTTATCATTGAAAATCATATTCCTAATAGAAAAATGGGTGGGACGTATACTTTTGTTGTTTTTTATCCTATGAACTAAATAATGCATAGAATTATGCATGCAGTAAGTATCTCGTCGATTGTTCGGAAGAGAAGAAAATAAAGTCTATTTTTCTATTTTTGTTTTTAATAGTCTGTCTAATTTCATCATGAATTTTTGTTTGGGTTTATAATACCACGACTACTATTACTGTTAATAATAATAATAATGTGAGACAGCGAGATATAATGGTGAAAAGAGGGAAGTGACTGACATTTCTTATGCTCATACACACATTAATCTCCCGAGTAATTTAGCCATGATTAAGGTTATTTATTGTTTTTGTTTGTTTAGTGTTTTATGAAATAGGAGAAACGTCATGCCTAAATTTCGACATTCTTTCTTGGTTTTAATTTTAGAATTTGACTGTACCACTTGGTGTAAATAAATCTAACCCAACAAGGTAATGGTTTCTATTTTCTCAGTGACCTTATTTCTTGGCGTGATCACTTTTTTTATTAAAAAAAACAACAAAACAACAAGACTGATCGAAATCTTTTAAGAAGAATAAAGAGTGTTCCTGCAACAGGTGATTATCACTAAATATCTAGACTATAAAACCTGGATTATTGGTACTTTTTTTAAGCCATGCTGTACCGCTAAGTGGATTAAGTCGATTGAATGAAGCATGGTATTTTTTAACGTGAAGAACTGACAGTTCAGAAATATTGTAAACTTTTTTTGGTTATGACTTGATTTTTTATATAAGGTGAAAGTTGTGTTATTATTATTATTTTCTTTAATTCCTAGAGGAACATAGGGCTTGATCCGCGCGTCTCAATTGCGTTCGGTTCTCTGCTAGAATTCTCACCTGGCTCCAAGTCTGCCCACATGCTTTCATCTCCTCTTCACATGACTTCCTCCAAGTCACCCTAGCATTGACGACCAACTCATCACTTCCCTTTCGGGTTCCACTCGAGCAATGGCTTGTCTGGTGATGTCACTTGATGGTTTCTTCAGAGTATGGCCAATCCATCTCCATTTCTTCCTGCACGCCTATTTGTTTCACAATCGGTTCCTGCTGGGTTGGTTCGCTCACTGCCAGAGATCCCTGTTGCTGATCTTTTCTGGCCGGCCATCTGATCGTGAGCGAAGTATTGAGCGAAGACAACTGTTGATGAAGGTCTGTAGTTTGTTTGAGGCGCTCTTTATGACACGCCAGCTCTCTGATTCGTACAGTAGCACTGACTTCATAGTGGAGTTGAAAATCCTTATCTTGTTTTTCATCCTGAGTGCTGTTGACCCCCACACAGACTTGAGAGAAATGAAAGCTTGTCTTGCTTTTCCGATTCTGGCTTTGATATCCTCGTCAGTTACACCTGTAGTTGAAACGATGCTTTCCAGGTAGGTAGATGAAGGAGATTGTTTCTTTCAGGTTCCTCCCATTTATGCTGATTGTTGTCTGTTGTTGTTGTTGCTGTTGATGTTGGCCAGGAATCTTCATCACCTAGCTCTGTTTTCTCTATGTTCACTGGAAAATCAGACATATATCACTGGCGAAGTCCAGATCCACCAAATATTTTGTGTTAGTCCATTTAATGCCTGTTTCCTCATTGCCCGCTGTCTGTCGCATTATCCAATCTACTGCAATCAGGAAAATCATTGGGGACAGTAGGCAACCAGCCAGTCTTGTCTTACTCTCATCTTCACTTCGAAGGATTCCGTAAGTTTCCCTTTGTGGATTACTTGGCATGCAGCATTGTCGTGCAACTGTTGGATGAGATGTATAAATGTTGGTGGCACCCCGTAGTAGCGTTACACATAAATAATTTCACATCTTGACGTCTAATGTTTATTGGAGTAAGACTAAAATGAGATACAGGAAAGATGTAGCAGATAAATTTATAGCATGATTGCCGTAACTCATTGTGTAACGACAGAAGACAAGGGTCAGGAAACAGATCCTTTACTGGGAAAATCAACAGATATTTATATATTTTTATGTACATTATTATTAGCGTTATTGTTAGCAGAGAAGCAACGTCTTCTGATTGGTTGTTCTTCTGCTGAAGGTTATTCCTTCATCTCTGTGTTGCCATTTTTCAGGCAGTCCGTTGATATTTCTACTAATCGTATCCACCCACGCTCAGTCTCCTGTGATTGGTTGTTGAGTTCCTCAAGGTTGGGATTTGTTCTTGTTTCTCTTCATGTCCCTGATTCGGAATGTAAACACTGACGTCAATTGTTGTCTACAATTTGTCTTGCAGACAGCTATCATCACAATTGAATCTTGATTTTATTCATTTGAACTACAACGGTGTAGATTAGGTTTTAAATTGAAGACGTTAAGTACATTAGAGAACCAGGAATTGAAGTTTTTGTTTTCTATAGCAACTCAACTAGGAAATGCCATCACATTGGACTAATGTAGAATAAGTGGAGACATATTTTATTAGTTGAAACAAGAAAGAATAGGGAATGAAAAGAACTAGTCATTAAATGTTGTGCAGCACAAAAAATAATGAATCAGTCGCTTCACATTTTTGTTTGTATCGCCTAAAGTTTCCGATCGTTTATTTTAAAACAGATAACTGGATCTTTTATACCTCCTCTTTTTTTTCTGTTTCCTATCAGTCTAACAGCACTGGCGTGTACCGTCACCTAGTTTAATGATAGGAGGAGAATTGGTTGAATGCGTTGACTGGTTCACTTATTTAGGAAGTTTTGTCAGCTCTAATTGACAGGTTGATGACGTCATCTCAAAACGGATACTGACATCTCGTTTGGCATATATCTATTTTCCACCTTAGTTTGTTTATTAGATGTATCACACAGTGAAACATTTTCATCCATTTTCATCATCTTACGCGCAGATGTGGAATCCAGTCAACCTATGAACGGACTGCATGCAGTACAGCAGTTCGCTTCCTTTTAATTTACAGCTGTGATTCATTACTGCGGAATGTTGAAGACTTGAGAAGACCAGAAGTTTTTAATCATAGAAGCCTTTGTTCAGTACTGTCAGCAATAATGTAGTTACCCGTAGGAGGTTAGTTAAAGAAATTAAGTTGACGGAGTAAGCTCTGTTCCTTGATATGGTTAAGGCATATGTTAGACATGCGGGACTACTACTTTCACTGATGACCAGTATTAAGTGAAACAGTATTATGGTATTAGATGGTTGGAGGCAATCGGCCACAGGAAGCCTTGGACCTAGGTGTCGTGCTAGTTGTCATTCACCAGTCAGCAAGGCGTATCTGCAACCTTGAAGGAGCTCATGTCCCTTCTGAGATTCGAAACCGCATCACCCAGTGCTGCAGTCAGAGACGTTACTACTTCTACCCTTCTTTCATATTATGTTTCTTTGTGTTCCTTTCACGTCTCCCAAGTATTTCCGCAACGCTGTATCAATTTCTTCCCTGATATGAAGTCTATCATCCTGCTACTCGGTGTTTTTTTCTCCGTGAACATCTCTTTGTATACTACTGATAAATCTTATCAGTAGCACACGTCACGGTGTCATTTTCTATGTTGCATCAAAATTGACGTTATTCACCAAAGAAGAGCGACTTAGGACTCTGCAAGAATTGGCTAGGAATCATGTTCCTGTCGACGCTAAGTAAGATTCAGAGTCGCATCATCCTTAAGAGAATAAAGGACGCACTGGATACAGAACTCCGACCAGAACAAGCTGGATTCAGTAAAGGCAAATCATGTTTTAGCCGAATTTCAACTCTACGCATCATCATCGAACAAAGCACGGAATGGCAATCAAACCTCTACCTCAACTTTATGCCCTTTGAGGACGCCTTCGAGAGCGTTGATCGCGTAGTAATTTGAAAACTACTCGAGTACTACGGCGTATCCCAAATATTCAACAACCTTATTCAACAGCTGTACGACAACAGTGGCACATGTCAAGTCGTCCACAACGGAAAACTCATCGAGGCGTTTCCAGTAAACACAGGAGTCAGACAAGGGTGCTGGCTTATTATCACCAATGATATTCCTAATTGTGGTGGACTGACTGGATTATGCGTCAGACAGTGGGAAACCAGCAGACAAGAATATCCTGGACCGACGCGAAGAACCTAGAAGACCTGGATTTCACGCGTGGATGATATATGTTTGATGTCACACACACAAAATCGAAGACTTACAAGCGAAAACCGACCGACAAACTGGTCGAAGAAGCAGTCGGCGAAGACAGGACTCCATGTGAACATATACAAGACGGAGGTTATGAAAATAACCAGCCAACAACAACAACAACAGCAACATCCAGCGCCAATCACCATCAACGGGAGGGATTTGGAAGAGGTTACTTCATTCACTTCAGTTATCTAGGGAGCATTGTCTCAACTACAGGCAGTCAGAACGGACGAGGATGTCAAATCGAGCGAGAATCGGGAAGGCGAAAGACACATTCATCAACCTGAAACCAATCTGGAAATCTTCGTCACTCAGCCAGTATCAACAACAAAATCCAGTCGAATTTTCAATACAAACGTCAAGTCAGCCAGTTCTTCTATATGGATGAGAAACTTGGCGGGCGGGTCACAAAGAATGTTTCCAACAGCCTGTTGCAAACCTTTATCAACAACTGTCTTCGCTGGATCTATACTGAAGATCAGATGGCCGGGCCGGAAAGAATCACCAACAAGAAACTATGGCTGGGAACAAACAAAACGAGAACCAATCGCCAACCAACAAATATGCAGGAGAAAGTGGAGATGGATTGGACACTCACTCCCTGAGGGGGCCGCTGGGTGACATCGCGCGCGCGTCAGGCCATTGTTCGAGTGGAACCAGGCCGAAAGGGAAGTGGCGAGTGGGACGTCATTACAAGGGTGACATGGAGGATATTGTGTGAAGATGAGTTGAAACAGTATTGACTGAAATGGAGGCAGGTGAAAAGTACAGCAGAAGGAAGACAGAAGCAAGTGGAGACGTGTAGTTGAAGCCCTATGTTTCACTAGGAACCCAAAGGGATAACAAACAAACAACAAACTAGGTGACATCTTATTCTCCTAAAATTTAAAGAAGTAAAAGCTAACTATGGAGCAAATGTCATTTTCTTTTCTCATGATCTAACCCATGAACTAGTTTATATGCTGAATAATCAATTGAGCTAACCCTGAAACAATCGTAATTACTTCACTGTCTACTTATAATTTTAACACGATACATACAATGACTCCAAAAGACGTATTTTTATTTTTTACCAACTTATTTCTCTATTGCAGTCTAGGTGTTATATTAAAAGATTTACAAAGACATGAAACTGGTGATGTAATGGTTACCGATGACGCAGCCGCACAGGAAAATAACATGAATTTAACTAAACCAAGCGGAGAAGATACATCATCGGAACAAATAACAGAAAATGCAATCACACGGTCTAACAGTACAGTGTCAACGAATACGCTTAATGCAGATGATAGAGACTCAGTAATATCTAAAGTGAGTCAGTCTTTTCTTATATTTTAGTTCAACTGTGTTATGTGTCACTTTGATATATCTGTCCCAATTCACCTTGTAAACACGCTAAACAATGCTTAGTTAGTGAACTACTAGTAATTTGTAGTGGTATGTGACCTCTATTTATTGAATTATCCTTGTATCTGTAATTGAATATGAAGGGACATAAGTCCCTTATGAGATTCGAATCCGCATCACTCAGTGCTGCAGTCAGAAACTGTAACAATGAGCTAGTTAGCCTGGCCACTGACCTCCCAAAGGACTGCTGATTGCCTTCAAACATCTAATATCGTCAAATCAATGTGCATCGTGATGGCGAGCTACCTAGAATAGTGGCCACATTGCCAACCTGACTGACAGAATTCAGTCTGCACCACAGAAAGAACTAGACACATCACACTAGTTAGTAGTGTCCAATCAAAGAAGGCGTTTTTCATTGAAAAGTCAATTTTCATTTGTTAGTTTAGAAATCAATGTATTAGTGTTAAGAAGTGGAACTATGGTTCATTCACACGATGTGATGTAAAAGTGTAACTTTTATGACGGAGTTATATTGGTTTGTGAATTCGTCTAACTTGACTAAAATGCGTCTCCAGAACACGCCACTATCACCAACTGACTGATGTAGACGTAAAAGTCACACTTGGAGAAACCACGACCAACAACAACTGCAACCGCAGCAACCTTCAATAAACAAATTACATGGTATATTAAAATTACAAAATCTCAGGAATTCCAGCTATAAAAAAATAAACAAATCTGATTGGTCGTCTGACCTCAAAAAATTTAGGCCACAAATAAACCAATCAAAAGTGTCCAATCAGATTGTCAGCACACCGAACTGTTCAATCTATCAAACTGAGAGACGAGAGATATCATATTTAAAAGCTTTTCTGAGGTAATTATAGTTTTTAGTGAATTATAGTACAAAAAATATGTTGATTTTTTAAAAAAAATACGAAAAGCCTATTCATGGCACCTCTGTTAACTAATCAACGATCCCCTTTGCACGCATTTATTTTAGATACAGATATCGTCACCATCCCGTTGTGACTAGGCAACATGCTCGCATAATTCTTATACATACCTATATATATATATATACATTTATATCTTACTGTTTTACAAATTCATGTTACTTAAACAAAATTGATGCTAAAACACAACTTCAGTATTTGCATTATGCGCAATTCGACTTGTCTTTTTTTTCTCCCTTAATTAAGCAGTAGTTCACTGTTTTATTTTAGCAGTATATTTTTCATTTCTTTTTAGCTAGTCACTTCTTTTTTATTTCATGAAAAGTCTTTTAAGAAAAAGAAGCCAACTTCACTATCTACACATTATCAACATTGTTCATTTCATGTGTGATTTCTCTTGTCTTATTACTTTTAATTTTACCTAGTGATTCATTCATAAGAGAAGTATATATTTATATCTATATATTTCTTTGATTATTTTCATCACTTTTCTCAAATTGTGAGAGATATAGAAAAAAATGTGTTACTCACAATCTGATTTCACTTCTTCTTCTTCTTCTTTATTTTTTAATTTGAAAAAGTGATTTCATCGGAGATTTTATTTCTCTCTCTTATTTGTACATCTATTACTTTTCTCTCTCTCTCAGTATTCTTGTAAATTATGTATGTAGATAATAATGTAGATATTTTAAAAGAAAAAGAAAATGTACTGTGTATGTACATTTGGTGTATTAAAATCTTCAACCTGATTGCAACAGAAAGATATCAAAACCAAATTGGATACACCGCTTTTGTTCTTTTTTTTTTCTACACAAATTCGATTTTTAGCCATTTGAATAATTTCTAAAACAAGCCATAAAGGTGGTTAATAAAGCAGGATATAATGAATTCATTAAATTTCGGTAGAACTCGTCAGCTGAATACTCTACATACACGGATATATATATACTTTTGAAATTACATTGGGAGATATAAGACTGATAAGTAAATAAACTACATTGAATTGGTCATGCAGAAAGACAGGTGCAAATGTTTTCCAGGTAATGTTAAAATAGATAAGGCGAGAGAGAGTATGAGAGATCGAAATTAAGATTAATTGCATTACGCTTCAATTACATCACTTAGATAAACAATTAGTCATTGGAGAATATAACAAGAATTGCAAACAGACTAATATCAATAGTAACAGTTGTAATAAGAATAATAATAATTATTAACCTTTACTGCTTGTTTTAGATTCGTATCGGGAAATAAATGTTTTCAGTTTTTGAATAATTTCTGTTCTTCATCATGGGGAGTGGCATTTGACAGTTTCACTTACAAGCTATACATCGTCTTACGTAAATTCTATAAAAAAAACATATAACAGCCTGATTAGTAAATATATTTGGGTGAAATTTTCCTGTCATTAAGTGCTTACGAGGAACTGTGTGAATATCATTAATGTAGTCCAATATTTATGGACTGAATCATATTGTCTTACGTAGTGCTAAACCATTTATTTCAGTAGTATATGCATACAAATGGAGCCAAATGTGTTTATCTCCTGATATAGCAATATAGTTAACGAATTCAAAAGAATGGTTACTAAACAAAGAATACTCTTTTCGATAACTACATCTTCATGTTTTACAGTCATATATATACATTATAGTAGTGAATGAATTAGTGCCATTAACAACATTACTGTTGCTTAAATAACACCGAATCAATAATAATATCAATGGATTACGGTTCCATAGCATCAACATTACAATACACTGAGTATCAGAGAAATGAGGAAGTTGAGTTTTCGTGTTCAGGAACACCTACCTGTGTGACTAAAAGACTTGTATTAAAAACCATCAACAGTTCGATATTGCACCACCTGGTCTAAACCAGCCACAAAGCCAGCAGTGAAGAGTCCTTCTCTATCATCTACCGGGTATCAAATAAATTGCTAAAAACATCCAGGTATCGCATGCTTCAAACAGTAGAGCCTATCACAATTCACGTGAAACAAGCGGTGCTCTGTGTACAGAAAAAGCAAGTCCAGCCACTACTACTGCCCTGGATGGCCTTCAGTATAGACTATAAATTCATCATCAATTATTATTATTTTTCCCAATTTCTCTGATATTCAGTGTGTTGTTATGGTGATGTAATCGAACTGTAATCCATTGATATCATTATTATTGATTAGATGTTATCTAAACAACATTCATGTTGTTAATAACAATCATCCATTCACCATTATGTATGTATATAACTGTAGAACTTGGTGAAGAAGTTATCGGAAATAATATTTTTTGTTCAGTAACCATTCTTCTGAAGAAATTTTAGTGGGCATTTTTAATCAGTTGAAGAATTTAAAATTGTTGATTTGAATCAAGTAATAAGGATCCATATTAAATTACAAATTAAATTTTAAAAAATGATACATGAATGAAGTCATGAAATTATATTGAACAAGATAAACTACTCACAACATTTAAGTAGCTTCAGGCATAATGCGGTTATTTTTGAGGTTTCGCTTTTTTTATAATTGTTCCTATTATCGTAATCTTGAGTTCCACTAAGAACGTTATAATGATATTTAATTACTGGTAATACTGAATATCACTTGTGATATATTGCAGCTTCAAAGAAGTCACATCTTTTCATCAATTTAGTGGTAAACGAAAAAAATTGTTCAGTACAAATATACATGAATAAAGGATAAATTTAAGTAAGATGCAATGGGAATTAGTATTTTACTATTCAGTCATCCATTTTAATCTGACCTAAATGTCTGGAATGCTGAATGTATCCCATTTTTCCTATGCACATAGTAAACCAAAAGGATAATGTCAAGCGAGAGAGTTAGACATCTAGAAACTCCCACTTGTGGTTCTAGAGAGTACTTACTCCTGGCTGATAAAAATCTATGATTTTGGCGAACAATTTCAGAAAATATACTTCAGCGAAATCAGTTTGTGGTGAGCGCCGTGTGCTAGCCAAAATTGTTCACAACAAGTTACGTCAGTGTTTGCGTCCCAAATCAGTGTCATGAGAAAAAACAAGAACGAAGCCTAACCTTGAGGAACTCACCAACTAATCACAGCAGACTTAACGTGAAAAAATACCATTAGCAGATATATGGCTCAAGTTTCTAAGAAACGGCCACAAAGAGATGACCGAGTAAACTTCAGCATGAAAACAACCAATCAGAAGACGTTGCTTCTCCACTAACAATAATGTACATAAAAATCTATAAATATCTGTTGATTTTCTCAATAAACGATCTGTTGCTTGTGCTTGTGTTCTTTCATTACAAGTTACAACTTTAAACAGTGTAATAAGCCATTTATCTGGCCTGATTCGGAATGAGATTTGGATATTTTGTTTAAACTTAAAAAAAGTGAGGCTTAAATTTTGTATTTAAATTGCTGAGTAACATAGTGGAAACCAAAACCTGTGTGATTTTGCGAAAAGTACTTTTGATTAGATTGAAAGTACTAAAGTTGTAGGTTTAGTTGCATAGATTAGACATGCATGTTCCAGCTTCACATCATGTTTACATAGTGTAAATTTACTGAACTTTTTGAAAACCGATACACAAGAGTGAATTCATAAAGAAGCCATTTATATGTGTACAGTCCACAGACTCTGTGACGGTTAATAGATGAGGGTTTTAACTTTTAGAAGGTAACTCACCATCAGTATACATTATTAACATTTCAAACGTTGAGATTACATAAACCCAAGTTTTTACGTGTGCCCCTTGGTTGTACATTGGTGAAACATCTGAGTTTATGGATAATCTTATGACTTATAAGAATACCTTTATTTTTATTAATTGCATGAGTGACCTCAACTCGAGTTTTATACTAGAAGTAATAGCAAGACGCCTACCTACTCGACTGCAAAGGAAGTGGGTGAAGATAAGCTCCCGTATGGAGGATGAGGATATTGAGCCTAAGTTCGATGACATTCTGAAACTGGTAAACAATAGTGTCAATCAATCTATGAGCAAGTTTGCCAGTATATTGAATCTCACCCCTAGAATAGAGCAGTCTGAGGGAAAAACGCAATCATTGATGACGAATAGGCCTCAGAGAGGTGGATATCGAGAAGGCTCCATGATGTCTAGTAATGCATATAGACCTAGTGAGTGTAACAGGTTTCGTGGTACATCCTCAACAGATAAGTTACAAGATGCAAGACAAACACGGTTGTGTTTTACACGTTTGCAAGAAGTGCATACAAAGGTGAACTGTGAACCAGTGAGCAAGTTCAGTGATAAGCTAAATGTGAAATCCAGGTCTGACTCCGAATTGTGTGACGATAACGGTGCGGTGAAGAAGTCTGTAGTTGCAACTGGTAAGCCATTGTTGAATAGAGTGTCACAGAATAGAGTTATTGCTTCAGAGTGCAGTTCTGACTCCACAAGTTTACAAGGTATTACTAGTCAGAGTGAAGGTATAAAATCTTTAGGGATTTGTGAGGAAGAACCCAAATCATCCACTTCTGTTATTAAAGAGTTTGAAAATGATGAAGTCGACAAGGTAAATTGAATATTTGTGATAATGATCATGATAGTGCAGATTTGTCTTTGGTTGATCATGATGAGATGAGGGTTATGCCTACTACTGCTAAGTTAAATAAGGGTTCTGTACAACTACAACGTGAAGTAGAATTGAATGCAGATGCAGTTGCAGAAGGTATGGATACTTGTGAGACCGTCAGTGTAATTGATCAGCATGTAGCCCACCTATCATCAGATGCTAGTGCTAAACCCGAACTAGTAGTGAAAGACAGCAGTGGTAGTAATCTTGCAGTTAGAGAATTTTCTGAAAGCCGAACAAGAACAGCTTCTGATCCACCGCTAAGTTCATCAACTGGTATCAATCAGTTGTCGTTGGTGTTGTCATCCACAATGAAAAAGACGCCCATCAACTCAAGTATCTTGTGCAATGACTATGATAGTATCGGTGCGTTTGAAAAGACGAAAGATATTGCTCAGTTTAGTGAGGATAAGCCAAGTGTAAACGAGAGAGTAATTGTTAAATTGACTTGCATGAATAAAGGCATTTCTAGTTTCAAGTTACTATTTGAATGT